ATATATATATATAAAGCCCAATGTCTAATATTTTAAAGAGAAAAAATACAGATAGATTGTATGAGTGGGCCCAAAAATAGGTACCCAACCCACACGGTACAACACACACAAAAAGTCAAAATGCGTACATATAAAAATCAAAAAAGCCCAAAACCACCAAGGCGCTAAGGGTCATCCTAATTTAGTTATGTTTCTGCCTCTAGTTCTCGGAAGAGATCCAGCTAACAAATTGGTAACGTGTGTACCATTACCCGAAGTAACCAAAGTATCATCCATTAAGACTCCTGAGCTCGAGCAGATCTCCATTCTTCTTCTTCCTCCTGGAAGTGTAAATCTGTTATTCTTCATCCAAAGAATCAGTCTGATGAGGTGATAAAACTGTAGCAGAAGGATTACCAACCGTAGTATCCACAATAGGTTCTAGTATATGTGAAGTATAAGTTGCCTCTACACCGGATACTTCCTGAAGAAGTGGAGCTACGAGGCTCTCCTGATTATCAATGTGAACACTATCATTTGTAGGTAATAGTCCATCAGTAATGTTTTCTATGGGGTTTGAAGGTGCCATCATCACAACACTCGTAGAAGCAGTAACAACAGGGGCAATAAAATCAAACACCAAATTCTGTCATGTGGTAGCCTTCCCTCTAGGTGGTACTGATCTTTAGATTTCAAATTAGGATGATGCTTATGATATTTATCAAGTGTATGCCCAAACATCTTGCAATGAGAACAATAAGAAGGTCTATGCTCCATGACGATTTGTTGTCAATATCCATTATGCGTTATGCCCAACCAAATTTCAGCAACATCAGACAAAGTAATATCTTTTTCCATAGGTATTCTGGCCAGAGAATGTCTGATAAGGTTGAAAGTGGGTAGATCTAGCTTCATAGGGTCCCTAAGTATGACACCAATAGAGTAAAAAATCTAAGAAAAAGTGTAGCTTGAGACCAGATATACTAAACCATATCGGTACAGTAGGAGGTTCATGATTGGGGTCAAAATCAGGAAACCACTTGAGTAGCTTCATTGGTTTACCAACAATGTTAAGATATTTTTTGGAGAGAATACGAGTGTAGTCCTCAGGCACGGTTTACTGAATCAATACATCTTCCATCCATGAGTCTCACTTTCCACTTTCCTACTAATTTGAGGTCATCAAAACTTTTCTTGATAACTTCTATAGCTGGGTGTCCCAACTGAAATTTTTCAATAAGAGCAAATTTGAATTTGTCAGTCAGGGTTGAAATTTCTGACTCAGATAAAAAGAGTGTTGCCTGCTCTTCCTGCTTGCATTCACATGTACCATCACGATTCTTCTTATAACTTGAGGGGAAGACAACCGTCGTCTCCACCTAAGGATTACCCACAACGTGGGCAAAAGAAGTTTTGTCGGGTTAAACCGAAGGAGGAAGCTCCATCACAGAAGTCACAACAAGGAGAGGAACTGCAAGTTGGCCAGAAGAGGCCGTGGGCAAAGTTGCGCAGAAGAGAGTAACCACAGACAGTAAGCTCGACAGAATCTAAACTGCAACATGACCACGCGCATAAAGGAACCGCGGCGCGAAGACGCCGCATAAGCGAAGATCCAAATGTTATTTCTATGAGTTGAAGCAGTCATCGAGAGTGTGGTTTGAGAAATTTATACTATTTGTTAATGGTCAATGATATTTTCAAGGATAAGGAGATCATACAATATTCTTCAAACATTTAAAGGATGGGAATATAACCATACTGATTGGGCATGTGAACGATATAATTCTCATCGGAGATGACATATATGAAATGAACTTGCTGAAGAATTCCCTCTTATCTGTTTTTGTGATAAGTACTTAGAATTTATAAGGCAATTAACAGTGATGTGGGGAGATTGTGGAAGGATAGAGGTGGCCCTGCTAGGTAGGAAGATGGTTTGGGTTGTAGGGAGACAACAAGGTTGTTGTCTTTGGGGAAAGGAATGGCTGCAACGGTGACGACGACAACTGCGGCAGCAGAGGAAAGGTTGCGGAGGATGGGTCGAGTTGAGGATAATCACTACCTCAGATGAGATACAGCCAGAGAACTACCCACCATCGAACACAACCCTAGAAGGGAAAACCCGAAGGCCAATGGCTATCCTAACAGAAACACAATCAAAACTCCCCTCTAAACCCTAACACAACACTTATATAGGAAATGAGTATAAGGGAATGAAAAGAAAAGAGAAAACTTGCTAAAACTGGAAAGAATCGAAATTGGGTCTTTTGGTTTTGTTCTATGTCGTTCGCATGAGCATACCGCACGCGCAATCACAGGGTTGGTTGAAACCCCACATGGTCGCTAGCACCTGTGTCAATGAAGGGAGCGCCCCATGCCATTGATTGTGGAGTTATTTGCATGCACTTCACTCCAACAGGGCAACAAATAACATATATCTTCACCAATAAACTTTTCAAGCCTTGTTTTGAGCTCCTTGTAGGCAGATTAAGCATGATAGATATCTATGCTCCAACTTGAGGCAGGGGATTGCCGGAATTTTAGGAATTTCCCCCCTTTGATATCTTCTATTTTTACTATTTTCTGTTTTTAATAGTTTCTACTATTAGAAATAGCTATTTTTGGTAATTTCTATTTTTTTTTTCTAACATGAGGATTTTGTGGGTTTCTTAATGTGGTGGCTTTCCCTGCTATTTATTTTCTAACCGAGTCTTGGGAATTGAAGAAGAATAATTATTTTTTCTCTCAAATAAAACTACAGTACTAAGCAAAATAACCTCATACGAGTGCTAACTAAGGAAAAGGAGGTGGCTATAGGACCCCCAGCCGTAGGCGGATGGAGCCATAAATTCTTCAACCAGCCAGCAAAAGCCCAAACTGCTGCTTGTTTTAGTGTTTAAACGTTTGCCTGGGACTGATTACAGTCGTCTGTGTCACTCCCATTAAGCACAAATTCTTCAAATTCAATTCCTGAGTTATATCTTCGGCTATACTATAAAGCTAAGGTCTATGGTTGTCATAAGTTCTATTTTCATACTTATGTTGTCTATCTCGAGTGTTTCCTTCACATGAACTTCTTGTCTCCGATCAATACTCACATGAATCCGTTTAACATTAATATTAGGTTTATAATTCATGTGGGCAAAATTGATTGGTTTCCAAATAAGTTAAGTTGCTTTTTAACCTAATTTAAGTTATCAGTCATTTGATTTTGTTTTGCCATCGATTCAGCTAATTAGTTTTGCAAAATAGTCTGAATCTCATTTCTTTGGTGATCTATTAATTGATCGAGTATTGTGCTCCACTCCAGTCATTTTTTGATGGAACCTGTGTTTGAGGTCGAATCTAATGTAGGAAATTTTATGATTTAGAGTTTTTCTAATACAAGTGGAAGATGCGATGCACAAGTATAAATACATGAAATATCAAAATTTACAGTCCTACTCTTTGTTAGGCAAAAACTTTTGTCCTTTCTGCAAATCAGAAAGCACTTGAAGTTCATTTCAAACAATAATTTAAAGGTCTTCTAAATCTGAAATTAAGAATTTGAGATTGAAATAGAACAAGGCAACGATTAGGATTCACATTTTAAGGCAGAAAATTGGCTTATAGCAAACTTAGCCAACTGTCAATTACACATGTAAAACCAATCACAAACTCTGCAGAAGAAAAAGAAGAAAGAATGAAGATACCAAAGAAGGTCCAAGACTCAGACTGAGGCAAGGAGAAAGCTGTTCTCTGTAAGTTGTCATTAAGACCTGCATGGTTGCATCATAAATTGAAATGAAGCTACAATTTTATCAACAAGACTGAAATTTATATGCATATTATAATCAAAACCTATCCTGGGAAACATATTAAACGACATAAATTTTAGAAAATATAAATTTCTCTCTGTAAGATCATCGTTATTGGTTAAAAAAAAGTGAAGTAAAAAAGCTAAAACTATACTAAAACTAATAATGATAATGAGATCATCTTTCGCTCGCATTTCACAAATTCGTACTATTGAACCCTCAAATTCCTGTCACGATCCTGGTAAACTTTCTAATCTCTTGTATGAAAGGATTCACTCACATCTCTTAGATTTACTAAATGACCACATGCACAACCACGAAACCTTTACAACGGTTTAAAAACCATTATGCGCGTGTTGTGATTTATTGTGAAAAGTTTCACATTTATAGCTGCATCTACCAAGAATTTAAACTCACTCCTTGAATTTTTTTCTAACTGGCTTTCAACTCTTCTATTTTTCTTAGACTTATAGATTTGCTGCTCTTCCATTTGGCAGTTTTAATGTGTTTAGTTTGAGTGCCAAGCTGTAAAGAAGCCATTTAATTGGTTTGGCTGGTTGTATTAAACCTCGATTGAAATCTTCTTATTCAATTTTTCTATCTCAATAACATTTCAGAAGGAAAAAATCTGCCTAGGAATATTGATGAAGTAATTCTTATAGCACAAATCTATGATTGTGAGTATACATAAAAGATTCTAGAAAGTTGTGGCTTATGGAAGCCAAAGGGAAAAGGTCATGCAGAAGCGTTTAACAAGCTTTGTCTTTAACCTATATTTATGTTTCTTTATTCTATTGATTACAATTTGTTGAAAGAGCACATTATCATGCAAACCTTCCAAACACAGGCTCTCAAATGAGATTTCAATGCTTTCTAGTGGCTGGGTGGACAGTGGGAATTATGTTGTTTTATTTTTCCTTTTCATGTTACGCAAGGCTTTTGATTATTTCAATGGCGGGCCTGTGCGTACATTGTTATCGTAATTAACTCACTCTGAGCAATCATTTTGTCATAATCTAGTAAAAAGTATTCCCCTGTTTTGTATCAAATTAATCTTCTAGTATTTTGACCAGGAAATCTTTTCCAGTTGGACTCATAAGGCTGAGCACTTTCAGAGAATTCATAGGAGGACAGGCGTTCCTTTCAACTCTATGCTCTTTTTTGATGACGAGTATCGGAATATTGACACGGTAATTAAAGTGAATCTTCATTTATCATATTATTTATGTTTATTTCATACATTAAAAGGAATAACTGATAACCTTTTGATAAGGAACTTTGCTATTATGTTTAAAAGACAAATGAAGTAGAATTTCATTGCATCATCTTTTATTTTTCCAGAGTTTTAAGAAAATTGAGGTTTGAAAAAGCAGGTAATTTGTATATTACCAGAGTTAACCTAAACAACAATAAATAATTAAATATTATTACTGAAATTCAAATAGAAAAGTTACAACCACATGACACACTTAAATCTAAAATTGTGACAATTGACAACACTAACTCAAATAAGGGTGAATCGAAGGTGATGCGATGGCTATTTGTGGTTCGGAATGGTGGCGATAAGGCGGAAGCGTGGAGCAAGTAGGCGGAATGACAACAAAACAACAGATAGTTGCTGTTCTGGGCGGCATCAAGTTGGAATTCGGGTTCTTGGAGGCTGGAACAACGGATGTGGCAGGGAGGTGGTCCAAGAGGATTGGGATAGCGTAGGAACAACGGATGTGGCAGGGAGGTGGTCCAAGAGGATCGGGATAGCGTAGGTGGCTGGGACGTGGTCCGTGGTGGCTGGAACAACTGCTGTTGGGAAGAGGAGGGATTTCTTGTGCTTGGAACTGCGATGGCAGCAAGCCTTAGTGCTGGAATCACTGGAGCACCGAAGAGGGAGGCCGGAGATGCGGGGCTGCTGGAGACAACAAAGGTATTGTTTGGCCCCGGGGGGGGAAGGTCGAGGATGATCACCACCTCGGAGCGAGATACAACTGAAACACCACTCGTCCTCGGATATAGCTCTAGAAGGGAACACGGGGAACACCGATAACCGTCCTGACAGAAAAATCATGAAAATTTGGCCTAAAATGTAGAAAAGACACATATAGATTTAGGGTAACTAGTAGTGGACCCTACTCTAAATAGGAGGAAAATCCACAAAAAATAAGTGTCCACTGCACATCCTGGACCGGTCCAAGCCAAAGATGTGCCGTCCAGAGTCGTGGGTGATACCATAGTTAATAGGAAATCAGCGGAAACACAAAAAAATTATTAATATTGAATTAGGGTTACAACCGCCACCAACGGAAATGAGAAATACAATAAAAACTGATCTCCGACTAGGACTGGATGAGAAGCTCTGAGGGCGAGGGCGGCGGTGGCGTCATCATAAGGGTAAGGGAAAAGGGGAAGAATTGGAGTCGCAGAGTATGTTGGAAGGGTGGTTGATGGCTGGTTTAGCGTTTGGAAGAGCTTCGAGACAACTGCAAAGAAGGGTGGATCGGTTGGGGTTGTTGGGAGGAGCGGTTCGACTGGTGGTAGGTCTGGGACAGTGTGGCAGGAGAGACTGAAGGATGTAGGGAGGCTGATGGTTGGGAGAAATGGGGGAGGAGGCTTTGGGGAAGGAGATAGGTGGCAGGCGGTGTAATTCAGTGAAAGGGGGGTGGTAGAGAAGGTGGACGGGTTGCTTGGAAGGGTTGTCTCCAGCTAGAATGAAGATAGTTGTTGCAACAACGGATGGCCAACATTTTGGTGGCGAAAAAAAATTATTAATATTGAATTAGGGTTACAACCACCACCAACGGAAATGAGAAATACAAGAAAAATTGATCTCCGGCTAGGACTGGATGAGAAGCTCCGAGGGCGAGGGCGGCGGTGGCGTCGGCATAAGGGTGAGGGAAAAGGGGAAGAATTGGAGTCGCAGAGTAGGAGGCTGATGGTTGGGAGAAATGGGGGAGGAGGCTTTGGGGAAGGAGTTAGGTGGCAGGCGGTGTAATTCAGTGAAGAAGGTGGACGGGTTGCTTGGAAGGGTTGTTTCCAGCTAGAATGAGGATAGTTGTTGTAACAACGGATGGCCAACATTTTGGTGGCAGCTGGAGTGGGAGATGGGAGGGGGAGAGGTTGAGGTAATCATCATCTTGGAGGGAGATATAGCCGGATCACCACCACCTTCTCAAGTACAACCCTAGAAAGGGAAAACAACTCTACACAGAAATCTGAAACAAAAACACAAAATAAAAAACATATAACCCTAAACAAGAAGAAAACAACACATATATAATGACTAGTAGATAAAATAGGAAGGGAAAGGCTCACCCCTTAAGTGGCAACCAGGAAAGGCAGAGGTAGGTTTTGACGGCAATGGAGAATTGTTGGGGCGGGATCAGGAAAGGCGCATCTCGCCTTTAATGTGATATCCAGCTGATGAGGGTGCTGGTAAGGACGTTGGAGTCGTTCCGCATTACGGGTGGATGCCCGCAACATTCAGGGTGGTGGGGCCTGACTCCAACGTCCTCTCGCATCTCGGGTGGGACACCTACACAGGACGTGACACCTGCATCATCCCTTATTGCAAATGGGATGCGCCTCATTGTATCAATTATGTTGAATGTGTAATGAAGTTATCTCAACTAGTCATATCAGAGTCAAACTATAGATGCACTCACAAATTTGAAAGAACCTAAATCGATGGAAGTGAATAACTATTATTTTGTAATGTTATCTCAAAGCGTCATATGTTATTATCTAATTTTGAAAGATTCTCCATTTGAAATTTAAATGTTATGATATTGAGTCTATTCAATGGTGTTTCCAGCTTTTTATTCTATTGTTTTTATGTTGGAGATGCCATATTGCAGTATTAGACATAGTATCCGGGTTATGGGAAGTGTATCCATGAACCTGTGAAGTATCAGTCCCTTCAAAGGTATCCTAACGTTATAGCTTCCTAAATTGCAAAACAAATTAACTCTGTTCCAGATATTATTTAGCTGCCATGCAAGTTATGGTGTCCTATAAATAATAAATTGCAGCCCACCATCCTACATGTCTTAATCATGAGAAATCTGTTTGGCAACTCGATCTATTTTATTATTTTTCTAAGATTTGCATATTGAAAAACTTCATATGACTCTAAACTTCAAATTGACATAGTTCTTATTTTTGGTAACTTATATTTGGAATTTTCAGTCATATGATATTTGGGTATATATTCAGGTATTTACCCAATATCTTCAAAATTATGAGTAGAAAAAAAAAAGCCGTATGTGCGGATGTAAGCTATAAATCAGGGAATAAATGCTTTAAGAACTTGTTAGACCGGCGCTACTGACAGTTTAATCTTTTGTTATTTATTCCCTCTTTCGCTCTGGTAGGGTATAGGAAGCCGCTTCGAGTGTCTCATGTCCGTAGTAAGAACTCTCACAAGCTACTCCTTGTGCTAGGAGATTAAGGATTCAATTATTTTCTCTGTGAGCCACACGACAAAGAGAAAACACTCACACCTCTCCACCTTCCTCTGCCGAATAGCTAGGGCATGGGAAACACCCTCTCTTGCCAGGTTTTTTCATTATAAGGTGTAGGTTGTTAGCCCTACCATTTTATCTCCTTCTTTCGATTGATTAGGGCACCATAAATCATGTCAAGTGTCTCACGCTTCCCTTCTATGCCCGCACAATTGATAGATTGTCGATGGTACAAATAGGAAGGCTCGGGCAAGCCGTTCGAGCCCTCCAGGTGCGGAAGAATGCCACATGAGCTCTTCCTCTTTCCTCTCTGACTCAGTTAAAGGTAACCTCCTCCTTCTTCCACTTCATTTTCTTCTTCTTCTATTGTTTTTCATGCCATTTCTCGCATGACTCTCGTGCTCTCTCTCACTTCCTCTCTTCTCTATCTCTCATGTGCGATTTGTTCGAATGAAAGGGGACGAAGGAAAATCCGTAATTTGACTCTCCCCCGAGTGTTGGCTTCCCTTTTGAATGATGTCTGTGAAACAACACATGCTTCACAGGTATCTTAATAGATAATTTATTTATTTATTTTTAATATGATTATTTAAACTTTTAAAATAAGTTTATTATTACGATATGTACGTACATGCATATGCATGTGTGTATTTTATGAGTTCCTAGTTTATTATTCTATATCCAGCTATATGAGTTTTCGTTTCTCTCTTGGCCTCTAGTTCCAATTTGTTTATATCGGCTAGATTTTCCTCACCGAGGAGTGCTAATAATATAAAAAATGCCGATTTAGCATAATACCAGCTTAATGGAGAAGATCTTAATAAATGGTTCATGCCAAAAATTAAAAAATCTTTCATTTATATATGAGGAAGATTTAATTTCAGAGATAAAACTTTCATAACATTGGTCGAACAATCCACACTATTGATGGGATAGATAAAATTATTTTACTTGTGACATATAAAGACTTGCATAACTACATGATAATTAAAAAATATTCATCTAGGTTTAACACAAATTACATTAAGACTCCTCAATCTTAAAAGATTAAATATTTCAGTTTTAATATGACTTAGCAATAGATGTCTCAATTGGGTTAAATCCCTAATGAGAATATTAAAATTAGTCTATTTCATGGACTAATTTATTTTAATATATTTCTGAATCTTAGCTTATTCTTATTCGATATTAATTTATTCGAGGTTATAAAGCTACAACTTAATTACATGTTAATGACTTCCCAAATGGGAAACTATCATTTTAGTTAAACTCATCTTTAAGGTAATATATACGTATGTAAAAAAGGCAGCGAAACTAGTTGATTGCACTATCTTAGTTGAAACTAATTTATTAGCATCTTATATTGCAATAAATTTGATTATTCGATGGTATGAAATGTATTTTTTTTGGATTTTAGACGATGTCTTCTACCCTGATTTCTAAATCTATAGTAAATTAAGAAATTTTCCGAATAATTCAAACATTGGTGTTGATGTTGGCATAAGATTTTGCCCAAGAATTTTGTAACACTTTCTTATAACACTATACCATGTACTTTATCAATAGTTGAAGTGAATTCTTTAATAGAAGAACCACCTATTGAAACTTTTATCAGGACAAGAGGAGTAGCAATTAAATCGTCCATCGTTTGAGAGAAATTTGTTCTCCTACCACATTTAAACTGAATTTTAGTTTCCATGAATTACGAGATAGGTAGTAAGTTTCAAGCATACTTA